GATACACATACAATTAATCAGGGAAATGAAAATCAATACCACAATGAGATTCACTTCATATCCATTAGAATTGTTACTATAAAAAACACACACTCCAGAAAATAATAAGTATTGACAAGGATGTGGAGAAATTGGAACCCTCATACATTGCTAGTGGGAATGTAAATGATGCAACCTCTGTGGAAAAGAGTTTGGCCATTACTCAAAGTATTAAATGTAAAATTGCCATAAACCTCAGCAATTTTGAGTAATGGCCAAACTCTTTTCCACAGAGGTTGCATCATTTACATTCCCACTAGCAGTGTATGAGGGTTCCAATTTCTCTACATCCTCTCCATGCTATGAAGATTTGTACACAAGTTTTTGTGTGGTCAAATCTTCATAGCATTCTCTATACTAGCAAAAAAGTAGAAACAACCTGCATATCCATCAACTGATAAATGGATAAACAAAGCACAGTGTATATCTACAGTGAAATATTATTCAGCCATAAGAAGGAATGAAGTTTTGATACATGCTATGACATGGATGGACCTTGAAAACCTTATGCTGAGTGAAAGAAGCCAAATGTCCAGAATAGGCAAATACATAGAGACAGAGTAGATTAGTGGTTGGCAGGGCTGGTTGAGGTGGGAAATGGGGAGTGGCTATAAGTAGGCATGAGGTTTCTTTCTGGAAGATGCAAATGTTCTTAGATTAGAAGTATTAGTTGCACACCATCATGAATATACTTAACTACTGAATCATGTACTTTAAAAATGGTTGAAATGGTGAATTTATGTTATGTGAATTTTATCTTAATTAAAAATATGTAACAAATATAAATTATAAAACATGATAATAAAATCAGCACTTGTGAAACCACTACCCAATTTAAGATCTTGGACATTCCCTGTACTGCAGCTTCTACCTGTGTGCTACTCTCCTGTTTCGTAGGCTTCCTTCCCCCAGAGGGACCCACCATCCTGAATTTTATTGTTATTTCTTTCTCTGAGGGGACAAGAAATTTATGTGCATACACACACACATTTCTAAAGTATTGACTAGTTTTGCTTATTTTAGGGGTCATACTATATGTATCTTCTGTAACGTGGTTTAAATGCAACATTATGTCTCTTAAGACTCAGCCGTGTTACAGATATCTGCAGTTTGTTCGTTCCTTCCCCATCCCCTGCCTTGGCAGCTGGGGAGATCAGTGTTAGCCTTAACCTATTTTTCTTCAGTTTTTAAAAATTGTGGTTTAAATACACATAACATTCACCATCTGGACCATTTTTAAATGTCCAGTTCATTAGTATTAAGTATATCCGTATCGTTGTGCAGCCATCACCACCATCCGTTTCCAGAACTTTTTCATCTTGTAAAACTGAAACTATACCCATTAGACAGTAACTCCCCATTCTTTCCACCTCTCAGCCCCTGGCAACTGCTATTCTGCTTTCTGCCTCTATGAATTTGACTACTCTAAGTGCCTTATATAAGTGAATCATACAGTATTTGTTTTTTGTGTGACTAGCTTAATTTTCTTAGCATAGTGTCCTCAAATCATGCATTGTGTAGCATCTGTCAGAGTTTCCTTCCTTTTTAAGGCTGGATAATATTCCCTTGTATGTATATAACACATTGTGCTCCATTCCTCCATTGATGAACACTTGGGTTGCTTCTACCTTTTAGCTGATGGAATAATGCTGCTGTGAACATTGGTGTACAAATATCTCTTTGAGACCCTGCTTTCAGTTCTTTTGGGTATATACCCAGAGGTGGAATTGCTGGATCATATTTAAAAATTTTTGAGGAACTGCCATACTGTTTTTCAGAGCAGTGGCACCATTTACATTCCCCACAAGCAATGTGTGAAGTTCTAATTTCTCCACATCCTTGCTAACACTTGTTATTTTGTTTTTGTTTTGTAATAGTGGCCATCCTAATGGATGTGAAGTGGTATCTCATTTGTGATTTGCATTTCCGTAATGATTAATGATGTTAAACATCTTTTCAGGTGCTCATTGGCCCTTTGTATATCTTCTTTGAAGATTGTTTTTTAATTGGGTCATTTGTTTTTTGTTGTGGTTTTGTTTGCTATATATTCTGAATATTAATCTTATCATATTTGATTTGCAAATATTTTCTCCCATTCTCTGGGTTGCCTTTTTACTCTGTTGGTAGTGTCTTTTGATGCACAAAAGTTTTTAATTTTCATTAGTGAAATTTGTTCAGCTTTTCTTAAAAAATTTTTTATAGTTTTATTAAGACATAATTGATATACATTACCATATAAGATTAAGATGTACTGCATGATGGTTTGATTTCTATATATTGTGAAATGATTGCCACAGTAGGTTTAGTTAACATCCATTATGTCACACAGATACAGTAAAAAGAAAAAAATGTTCTGCTTGTGATGAAAGCTGTTAGGGTCTACTCTCTATTTATTTAATTTTTTTAATCCTCACCAGATGATATTTTTTCCATTGCTTTTCAGACAGAGGGAGAGGGTGAGGGAGAAAGGGAGAGAGAGAAAGAAAAACATCGATGTGAGAGAGAGACATCAATTGGTTGCCTCCTTCATGCACCCCGACTGGGGCTGGGGGTCAGACTTGCAACTGAGGTGCATGGCCTTGGCCAGAATTGAACCAGAGACCCTTCAGTCCGAGGGCTGAAGCTCTAACCACTGAGCAAACCTGCTAGCACAGGATCTATGCTCTTAACAACTTTTTGCTTTTGTTGCCTGTGTTTTTGGGTCATATATCTAAGAAATCATTGCCAAATCCGATGTTGTGAAGCTTTTAGCCTAGGTTTTTCTTCTTAGAGTTTTACAGTTTTAGGTCTTACATTTAGGTTTTTGATCTGTTTTGAGCTGATTTTTGTATATGGTGTTAGTTAAGGGTTCCACTTTATTTTTTGCATGTGGGATACCCAGTTCCCCACTACCATTTGTTGAAAAGATGTCCTTTTCCTATTGAATGGTCTTGGGATTCTTTTCAAAAATCATATGACCATATAAGCAAGGTTTTTTTCTGGACTCTATTCTATTTCTTTGGTTTATATGTTTGTTTTTATGCCAGTACCACCCTGTTTTGATTACTGTAGCTTCATAGTAAGGTGAAATCACAAAGTGTTAGTTTTCCAACTTTGTTATTTCTGCAAAAAACATTGTTGGGATTTTAATAGGGATTATGTTGAATCTGTAGATCACTTTGGATAGTATTGACATCTTAACAATATTAAGTCTTCTAATCATGAATGTAAGGTGTCTTTCCATCTGTTTATATTTTCTTTAATTTCTTTCAGCAATGTTTTGTAGTTTTCATTGTACAAGTTTTTCACATCTGATTGTTAATTCCCAAGGATTTTATTCTTCCTGATGCTACTGAAACAGAATTGTTTTCTTACTTTCCTTTGTTGGATTGCTCACTGTTAGTATATAGAAATGCAGGTGAGATTTGTGTGGATTTTGTATCCTGTTTCTTTGCTGAATGCAGTTCATTTTTATAGCTGTATGATATTCTACTATGGAATACACCTCAGTTTATTCACTTTTTGTTGACAGATAATTGGATGGTTTACAACTTTTTGTTATATAACAAACAGTGTTTCTATGATCATCAGTGTGTCTCCTTGTACATGTGCTCAGGAGTTCTAGGAGCTCTAGTGAAGATTCTGTGAGTGGAAGTGCTGGGTTATAGGGTATGCATATGCATTCCAATGATTGTTTCCAAAATGGTGGTAACAAGTAACCTCCACAACAGCAGGGCGTGTCCCACAGCCGGGCAAAGTTTGGTATTGTCCACCTGAAAGTTTCTGCCTATCTGCTTGCTGGCTGTGAAATAGTCTCGCATTGAGGGCTGAATTTGCATTTTCCTCACTCCTACTGCAAGTGAGCATCTTGCCATGTGTTTATGGACCAGTCTTGCTTTTTCTTCTCTGAAATGTATGTGGTGTCTTTACCCACTTTTGCTGACTTATTTGTCTTTTTCTTACTGATCTTTAGGAATTCTTTATTTGCTCTGTATCTGTAGTCTGTCAGTTTAGTGTTGCACATATCTTCTCCGAGATTGTGGTTTGTCTTTTTGTCCATCCATTTGCATTTTTAATTTTAACTATATTTTTTCATTTCTAATTGTTCCCTTTTTAAACTTATCTAGCCATTTTCTGTAGTCTCTTATTCCCGCTTTTATTTCTTTGAACACTGTGCACAGAGTTATTTTTTTTTTTTGTATATCATAATTCCAGTGTCTGAAGTCTGGGGTATAAGTGGGTTGTTTGTTAGTTCTGTTTACTCTCACTCATAGTGGCGTCTTTCTGTATGAGTTTAGTAATTTTTTATTGTGATCTCATATTCTGTTGAATTTAATTTGTGGAAACTCTAAGGGCCTACACTGGAGATGGTTTCCTCCAGAGAGGATTTGGATTTGCTTTTGCCTGTTGCCAAGGGTGCTGCCAGTCTGACCCTACCTTGAGCCCCTGTGAGGAAGCCCCTGGAAGCCAGAGTTGGTTTAGTGTTTTGCCTTCATTTGCTGCCCAGAGGTTACCCTCTATCGCAGCGCTGATAGTGACATTGTCTTTCAGTCAAGCCCTATTTACTGTTTACTGTTTACCATGTTGCTTTGCCTGTTTCCATTTACTTTTTTGGGGGTGAGATAGAGGGTTTGTGTGGGATGGGCTGTTAGAGATTTTCCAGCAAGCTCAGCAGTGCATAAGAAATTACTTGTTGTGATATATGCAAGGTCAAATGTTCACTGTATAGTGGAATTTCATCCTGAGAAATTTTCTAACTTGAATCACACCTAGAAAATTCCAAGGTTTTAAGATGTTCAGTTTCATTGATGTCTTTTTTCCTCCTCTGAAAGAACATGGGGATGGAAGTTGCCTGGCATTCAGAGGAACAGATCAGAATTTCTGATATTTGTAATGTGCTTAAAATGTGTTTGGCATATAGTAAGTCTGTGTAAATCATAAAAGAATAAGTTATTAAAAGTAAGTATTTTCCATTGTGTTAGGTCTGGGTCACTACAATATCACCAGCGTACCTACCAAGCTGGGTGGAGACCTTGTAGGAGTGAATGTTGTCCAGGTTGCCACCTACGGTGATTGTTGCCTGGCTGTGTCTGCCGATGGAGGCCTCTTTGGTTGGGGCAACTCTGAGTACCTGCAGCTGGCTTCTGTCACTGACTCCACACAGGTATGAGGTCACTTACAGCATGGTGCTGGGAGGTTTGTAAATATAAAATGTTATGGACATTTATAAGAGGTTCTTCACCAAAGTGTGATGTATAAAGTGCTAGAATGTTAAGGCCTAACCTGTTGTAAGACTGCCTCTTCGAGGTTCCAAGTTTTTGACAGTCTCATTGGAGCCTGGAAAGAAAGCTTAGATTCAAAAGCCATTATTATCAATACTTTTGATGAGCTAGTCCTGGTTTAGAGCAGTATTTTAGGTATGTCTGAGTACCCTGTCTGTTCTAAAGGGGATACAAGGCTGTTTATCTAAGTTCCTAGCGTGTCATAGTGTGTCTTTTGTTGCAGTGTAACACATATGCCCCCAAAGCACACAGATCATGAGTGTGTAGCTCGGTGTGCGACCCACACAGATCAAGCGCTGGAATACTAGCAGCCTTCAGAAGCCCTGCCTGTGGCTCTCCTCACCTCTAGCTCGTCCTTCTCACTGAAGCAAGCCACCATTAATATAACACAGTAGAATTTTAAACGTTTTATTAAGGAAAACTTCAAATATAAACAAAAAGTAGAGCTCATGGCATAATTAATCTCTATATACTCATCACCCATGTTCAATTACCAACTAATGGCCCATTTAAAAAATAGAGATATAATTCACGATTTTAAAGTATATAATTTAGTGGTTTTTAGTATAGTTACAAGGATGTGTAGCCATCACCACTATCTAATTCCAGACATTTTCATTAACAGCCTCCCCTCTCCCCTCAAAAAACCCCATACTCCCTAATGGCCAGTTTTTCCATCTACTCTGTCCTAGATTGTTTTGAAGCAAATCCATATTTCATCTATAGAAGTTTCAGTGTGTATCTCTAAAACATAAGAACTATTTAAAAAAAATACTACACTTCTTAATATTGTCAAACTTCTGACAGATAGAGAAGGGGTTTTAAATATATGTTAATGATAAAGAAACTTGCACAAGGGGAAACCAAAGATCATCTAATAAGATGAAAAAATGCATTCTCTCTGGTCTGGCTCAGTGGCTAGAAGTGGTTGCAGAATTGGCTTTGAGCTTCTGAGTAGCCAAAGCAAAGAAGAAAACATGGTTATTTAAATGATTCATTGTTTCTCTAAGATAAACAGCAGATGAAGTGTGCAGAAGTACTGCTCTTCCTAATGCCAACGCCTGAGAAAAATGTCTCCGCATGGCCTTCCGTGGGGGACAGGGTTAGTGTCGTGTCATTGTTATATATTGCTGCATAACAAGTCACCCCAAAACTTAGTGGCTTAAAACAACACACATTTATTATCTCACAGTTTTGTGGGTCAGGAATCTTGGGGTGGCTTAGCTGGGCCTTCTGGCCCTGACTGTTTCAAAGGCTACAGTCATCTTATGGTTCAGCTGGGGAAGGCTTTGCTTTCAAGACTACACTGGTGGTGGTTGGTGGGATGCAGGTCCTTGTGGCCTGTTGGACTGGGGTTCCACTTCCTTGCTGGCAGTTGGCCAGCTACTAGTTGTTGGCCAAGCCTTCCATGGTTCCCTGCCACATAAGCTTCTGCGTGTGGTAGCTCACGTGGCTTGTGGCTTCATCAGAGTGAGCACAGGAGAAGGCAAGAGTACCAGTGAGACAGAAGCTAGTGTTTTATCTCTTAGTTTTGGCAGTAACTGTCCCTCACTTTGCTGGTATTCTGCTCATTAGAAGCAAGTCACTAGGTCCAGCCCCTCACCCCTACCCCACAGGGCAGGGATTACACATGGGTGTGAATAGGAGGGGACTGGGATTATTGGGGGTCATCTTAGAAGTAACCCATCACAACCATGATTCTTTACTGCGGCCTAAGCCTCCTCCTGTGAGTGACAACAGTGGTATGTTTCCAGTGGCTCCGTGCTAGAGTATTTCTCAGTACTTGCTGAGGGCCTCGTGCCAGAGCTCAGTGAGGTAAAGCAGCTCTCTGGGAGCCAAGCAGCGGAGGCCCAGCCCCAGCCTGACAGCCCCACTTTATCTAGGCATACATTTTCTGGATTGGTGAGCCCCTTTATTCCTTTTGAGTCAACTTAGGGACTGTTATCTTTCAGCTGTCTCCATTTGAAAGTGAATCTGTGAAGATTCATGGCTGTCACTGAAGCACTAACAATCTATCTTTCCAAAGTTATTTCTCAGTAGAAGCGCCAAGACCAAATCCTGCTGGAAAGCTAAGCTGGCCACATTTCACTCTCCAAACCCCTGACCCTCCCATCTCTCACTCTCAGCAGATCTTGCCTCCTGTTTAATAGAGAAAACAGATGCTGTCTGATGCGAATGCCCTCAGTTTCCTACTATGTCTCCTATACCCGTACCTGTGTGTGTACCCACCCTGGGCCCGTTCCTTTTTCTAGCAGCGAAGGAGGGGGATCTTCCTGTTGAAGCTGATTCTTCTCTTGTGTCCTGGCTACCATCTCCTTTCACCTTTTCAGAAGCCATACTCTATTTGCTGGGCCTTCTTTCTCATAACTTCAGCCTGTGCTTCTCTACTCGCTTCTCCATCAGTCTTTACAACTGACTCATGTGTCTTCCATCTTAAAAAGCCCTGTGTGGACTCCTCTATCTCCTTCCATTCTCCTCACCCCTGCCCCTCTGCTTTACCTCCTGCTTCCTTCCTAGGACAAGCCTCTCAGGAGCTGCTTTTACTTGCCACCTGTTCCCTCATCTACTCATTTTTCAGTCCATTCCACTTAGTTTCCACCCTTATGAGTTTGCTGGGTGGTCCTTGATAGGGTTACCAATGACATCCATGTTGCTCAAAATAATAATAAAGAATCTGGGGAACATTTTTCCCTCTTTATCTTTCTTGACCTCACAGCAGCATTTGACATTGACTGTGACATTTTTGTGAAAAGCACTCTTCCTTTTGCCTCTGTGACTAGACTCTTCCACTGCTGTCTTGTCTTTCTTGTTGTCCCTTCTTGGTCTCATTTACGGGGTCTCCTCTGTGCCAGACCTTTACATTTTGAGGCTCCTCATGGCGTGGACTTGGCTTTTTTTCCTCCATATTCCCCCTTTAGATCTTACCCATACCCATGGGCTGCACTTGCCATCTATATGCTTACATATCACAGTTCCAGACATCACTTTGTAGCACTTGACATTACCACTTGGCTGTCTCTAGGCACTGTGAGTTCCATATGTCGTCCAAAAGTAAACTCACGCGCATCCCCACGCTCTGGGCCTTCTCCATGGTTCGCCATGTTCATCATGTTCCCCTCTGGAAATTCCACAGCTTCCTGCATGACCGGCCGCCCTTTCCCCACCAGCATCTTGCACCGCATTCTACCCCTCCCCCTGCTGTAGCCACTCTGACCTTGTTTAACCTCCGGAATGTGCCGTGCTCACCTCATTCCCTTTGCACAGTCCATCTCCCATGCTTGGAATATCCTGCCCTTCCCCCCTTGCCAAGTTACTTCTCATTCTTCAGGTCGCAGGAGAAAATGAAGCCTTCCCTGCCTGCTCCTCCCCCCAAACTACACCAGTCTCCCTGACATTCATTCTCAGAGACCCTATTCTTTCCTTCATTGCATTCAGCACAAATTAATTTCATGTTAATTGGGCTGGCAGCTGCCTCCTCCGCTAGACTAAGAGAGGGACCAGGTCTCTCGTTTCTGTTCGTATTCCCAACATCCAGTTAGATGGTTAGCATATGTTCAATGTTTGGGAAATATTTGTGGCATGAATGAATGAACTGGGACTTACATACTCTGTAGACAAGACCAGAGTATTTCCAAGTTCTCACTGGTTTGTCTTCCTAACACTGTGGACCCTTCCTTTTGATTCAGGTGAACGTTCCCCGGTGCTTACCCTTCTCAGGAGTGGGCAAGGTGAAGCAGGCTGCCTGTGGTGGTACAGGCTGTGCTGTGTTAAATGGTGAGACCGTCTTGCAGACACACTGGGCAGCTCTGGGTGGGTTGGACAGGGAAGGGTCGGTGTTCCATTGGACTCACAGGCAGCAGACCTTGGCCTGAGGAAGGGAATGTGGCTGGGGGAAGATCTAGGTAGATTGAATTCAGCTAATAGAGGGTGAGGTGACGTCTTGATAGGACGATAATAGCCGTGATTTATATGCAGACAGCACAGGGCTTAGTGATCTGTAGCAGCCTCTGAAACGGAGAGTGAACTTTCTCCCCTGTCCCTTAGTCTGGGCCAAAGGCTCCAGCTCTGCCTTCTCCAGGGAGACTGTGCCAAGAAACAAAAAGCAGATAGGAGAAGAACCTTAGGGTTTAGATACTGAGATCCATGCCTCTGGGATTAAACATCTGGTACCACTGATGAGTATTAAACTTTTATAACCAAAAAATCATTTTTAAGAGTTTTAGGAATCTGGCCAAAAGTTGTTTAGTGCTTGGCTTGGTATTCTGATCAGTGTGAAACATGGTGCTGTTAGGAAAAACTGTCCTTCGAGGGCTCTCCTGTGTTCAGATGGAGTTTCTGGGTGATTTATGGATTGGTCCTGCCCAGGTTACCCTTAAGATGTGAGAAGTTTGTATTCTGAGATTGGTGAGCTGGCTAGACATACTCCACAAGCAAGAATTTGAAAGAGGAGAAAAGAAACATTATTTTAAATATCTGTTAGCATATTCTTGCCAAGCGAGTAGGAAAAAAAAAGCATGTGTATATATGCATCTTGGTGGTGCAGTTTGAATTTCTAGTGCGTGAGGGCTGCTCTCGGTTTGACTTATTGACCGTTGTTTTTCCTGTAATGTAGGAGAAGGACATGTTTTTGTCTGGGGCTATGGAATTCTTGGGAAAGGACCAAACCTAGTGGAAACTGCTCTTCCAGAAATGATTCCACCCACTCTCTTTGGCTTGACGGAGTTCAACCCAGAAGTCCAGGTTTCCTGCATTCGATGTGGACTCAGCCACTTTGCTGCCCTTACCAGTAAGTGACCAAGTCATGTGGCTCCAGAGACTGACAGAGCCTCACTCTCTCATATTCAGCCCAGACTGTGGGCAGCTCTCAGTTTCCATCCATCCAGCGGAGTGGTACCCTTGTGTGGATAATTAAAGAGAGTGGCTAATCCAGAAGTTTTTGGCTTGAGGTTGTATAATGTGTGTCTTTTTTTCATCCTGGAGTTCTGTTTTGGTTCATTTGGTTTGTGGTTAGGCTAATGTGAAAATGAATTTTCTCAAGAGGATACCAGTCAGTGGCAGGAGTGGGCACCCTTGAGTATGTTGGGGTGCTGGGGGAAACCAGCAGAGGTTTGGCAGATCCATGGTGGGTAATTAGGAAATGAATGTGTGAGGCTTAATCCCACTGCCTGGCCAAGCCCAAACCCCGATCTGACCCAGGAACGTGGGATGGCGAGGGGCAGACTTGTAAGACCATCCTGCGGTTTTGTGGAAGTAAATCTACCCGATTTCTCCAGGGTGCTGGGGGAGAGACTGATCAAAGGGAAGGCTGAAAGGGAGATTTTCTCCCAGGCTTGCCAGTGACACAGCCATAACATATCCAGTTACCCTGCAGCCCTTGAATGTGTGCTTTTCTTGATTACATCTCCCATTTCACCACAGTGACTGTGGGTTCAATTTGTTCCTCTTTAGTTGACTTGAATCGTCAGACTGTATTAATTTAATTTCATTTTGTGATTCTCAAGCAAATTCACTATTTCCTTGCAATTAAAAAATCTTTTTGTCTCATGGTAATTGTTTTCTTTTAAACATCTGGTTGGGACAGTCAGTTCAGGTCATCCTTGTTTGTGTGCTCTGGCCCCATGCTGTATGAGGACTGCTCCAGATGATCACCATTCAGTATTTTCTGAACTCCAGGCCTCGGGGCCTTAAGACACACAGGCTGCAGTGTAGACTGTTGTGCTGGTGGGTTGGAGTCTTGCCTGCCTGTATTAAAGCACCAGGTGGTAGCAGTGCTGATGGTGGAGAATCCCTCACCGCCACTCAAGCATAGTCAGCCACTGCCATTCACAAAAGAGCCTAGTTCTCGAGAGGTTTTTAAAGCTACTTTGACTTACTAAATAAGAATCATTGTGAACGAATTCTAGAGCTAGAACGAATCATTGTGCTAAGGCTTAAACTATGAGCAGAGTTACATACCTGGAAACCCATACGAAGTGTCCACTAGAGTAGACTGTTTTCTGTTTGCCGTCATGCTGTGTGCCATTTTGGGTCACACTTAATTGAATTCCCTATCTCGCTTTTCCCCAAGACGCAACAGCCACCCCCTAAGTGCCAGTCACCGTCCCTCAGGAGAGGGAGCATCAGAGCTTGGGTTCCTTCCCTGTGTGCCCAGTGTTTACATATGGCCAGCTGGGAGTTGGGGTTGGTTGGTTTACCCTAAAGTCTGCTAACATTTTGGGGCCAGACTGAATTGTGAATTGTCCTATTAAACACATAAAATCTGAGGGTGGAGGACCAGGGGTGATGGTCAGACCAGAGGGGCTCAGATAGCTTGTAACAAAAGGATTCCTTATTTAATCAGCCCTGATCATTTTAGTCCTGGCTTTTCCATGTCTTTCTGCTTCTGCTTGCCAGATGTGGGGTAGCGGAATGGGGCCGCCACACCAAGGAGTGCCCAAAGCTGATGTGGTGCAAGTCAGAAATGAAGGCGGCGGGTTGGGAAACTGCCCTACCAGGTGTGGGTTCCTTCCTGGAGGCTGACATTCCCAGAGCCGAGGCCGCGGTGCAGTCTCCTGGGCTATTCTCATAGCAGCCTCTCGGTCCTTTTCCTTCCTGGCACTTTCTATAGTTTGTCAGCATGTATGCATTGGTTTAATCATTTGTTTATTTCTAGCTGTTTGACTAGTCCCATGAGGACAGAAACCAAGCATGTTTAGTCACAGTCCTGTCCCACCTGCTAGCACACAGACCTAGACCTGGCCCAGAGAGGTACACTAAAGTGAATTCCCTATATAGCTTCCCCCCAATCACCGTGTGTCACTTGACTAAATACTCCTGAGGTGCGGAAACCCAGACAAGGAATGACAGTCATCCTACTTCGAGGATGCTCAGATTTCAGGATTTGTGGAGGCAGAGTTTGGTCGGACATAGCTATGGACAAGGAGTGTATGCATAGGGGGCGAGCAGAGTGGGCTGTGTGCGGGAGCTGCCTTGGCGCTCCACTCCACGCACATGCTCATCTCCCATGTGATGGACACTGCAAATCTGGGCTTGGACATGTTTTTGGTATGGGGACAGTATACTTTTCCCTTCAAAATAAAGCATTACTGTCTGGTAGAAACTGAAGTTTACACTGGGCTCTGTTTGTACCAGGTTCTGGAAAGCTTGTTCTCATGACCCTTCCTCTTCTTGGAGACTTGCCCTCGGTTTAGTCCTAACCAAGCCACCATTTTTCTTTCTTTGCAGACAAAGGAGAGTTGTTTGTTTGGGGCAAGAACACCCGAGGATGCCTGGGAATCGGCCGCCTAGAAGACCAGTATTTCCCTTGGAGGGTAAGATGACTGGGCAGGCCTGAGGGCAGGTCCACAGGGCAGACTCACTCTGTGTGGTAGCACAGCCCCGTGTGTGCAGCTGGGCCAGCACCAGGTTCCCGGGACTGCTCCTCCTGGGCCCCGCCTGCCCTCCTCCTGCTCTCTGGCATCAGGCAAGGCTGCTCAGGTGAAGAGCCAGAGCCTAGCACCAGCTTGTCTGGCTGCGGGCTCACTCCCTTCGCTCCTCCCTGGGGCCTGTTGGGCGAGCGGTGGGAGGGAATGGGCCGTGTGGGGTTCCGTCCCACGGGGCCCTGTGAGAAGCCTCGTTGGAGGCTGCCTGGGGATGTGGAGTGGGAAGCAGAAGTGTGCTTCAGAGAGGAGCCGGCTGCAGGCCGGTGCCACGAGGCTTGGGGGCTGGCAGGGAGCGACTTGAAATGGAGAAGTTGGCACGCCAGGAGCTGTTTGCAGAGGCCAGTGCAGAGGAATGTTTACAGTGAATTTAAAAGAAAGCAGGATGTTTAATATTTAGAATGTCTTACCACAGCCACCAAAGTGAAAAAATAAAGGCTTTTCTTAGGGGAGGATGCAATTAGACAAAAAAGCTCATTTCAAAATTAAAGGGGAAAAAGTTCTTTCTTCAATTGTTGTTTATCTTTGTGTTGTTTACTAAGTTTTTAAAGTTCTTAAAAAAAGGTGTTTATTTTTTTGAATACAGAACATATGTCCTTGTTCAAAGTGTATTATGGAAAATCAGTTTCCCATGTCTTGTCCCAGAGGCAACCCCAGGACTGGTGTCTGACGTCCCCTCCAGAGACAGTCTCCGCCTATAGAAGTGTGTGTGTATGCATGAGCGTGCACATGCTCAAGTATTTTAGCAAGTTTCATTTTAATAATGTGCTTTGAAATGGTATAAAATATCTTTTAAAAACACATGAAAATTAAAAAGAAATGTATAATTTAAATAAAATAAGGATTTGTCTGTCCAGAACCCACTGCAGAATGTTCTGAGGCTCTTGGTATTTTAGGGGCTTGTTTCCATCGGCCCTTCCCTCGACTGCTGACTCTCCTGGGTCCCTGTGAACTTGGCAGGCCCTGGCTCCTTTAAAACAGTAGGTGCGGTTTCTAAGAAAACAGGTCAAAACGGAGACTTTAAACTTGTTAGAAAGAAATAGTTGTGCACCAGAGTTGTTCCCAAGCTGGCTGGCGCTCAGTTGCTCGTTCTCTGAGCCTGGAAATATCATTACGTGTGAGGAATGGAGAGGCGGTTGGTGGACAGCGGATGGTACCGCAGGTGATCTGAATGTTGATACTGTGGATTTAGACATCCTGCTTGGTTTCCGGTAGTTCCTTACAGTCCTCCCTTGAACCTCACCAAAAAGGCCTTTCTAAGGGGAAGCTTAGGAAACAGTAAAGCAACTGGATTTTGGACAAATGACTGCTATGACTAGGGGCTCCCCACCTGCCTTCATTTCCTCTAAATTAGAGTGGAAACATAAGGACAGCCATGAAATAAGATTGGAAATCTGATAGCATTTTCCTTATTGAAATGGCTGAGCCAAGCTTTGGGCTCCGCTGTGAGGCTGGAAGCAGTAGGCTGTTGGGGGTTGACACCACTTGCTGCTCAGGCCAGACCCCTTTCACCTATTCCTCACTTACTAGACCTCCCTCCGGGAATGTCGTTTCCTGCATCTGCGCCATCAGGGAAAGGACGCTTGGCTGCTTTCTTGACAAACCGTTGTCTTCCCTCTTGTACATTTGTTGAGCCCTCAGTTTGTAGAGCTACTTTGTTCCCTTGTCACCTTTTGATTGGGGTTTGGGGGATGGGTGAAGGGGAGAGTGTGAAAGGATGGAGCTAAGATCTGATGGCCTGCCCTTTCCGCTTTTTGCAAGCTCGAAGATGCGAGGCTGAGGCTCTGGGACAAAGGTGGTGGCAGGAACCAGGTTTTGGATCAGCCAGGCTGGATTCTTTGAAGATTCGATTGGTCTCCTGTTGAGTAGCTGGACCTTGCTCCTGTCCATTCTGTTGTACTCACTTAGAAAAAATTACAGAAGAGTTTTAATCTTTAAAAAACTGTATTTTGTTATTCAGTGGGGGTTGTGTTACATCAATTTAAGAGTATTTCAAGAAAGAAAAAAAAGAGTAACCTTATTTGTAGCTCCTACAAGGGGTCCTCATTAGTTGGTCTTGGACTCACAGAACCTGGGCGTCCCTCTCAGTATGCAGGCTCAGGTAGTGACATTGGAGCCCCCTGATTTAAGCCTCTCCTTCCAAAGCTTTCCAGGATGTTTTCCTGCTACACATTGATGCTCAGAGCTCATAGAGGTTCAGTGGTTTCTTCAAGGTCATACATTTCGTAAGCAGAGCCAGGGTTAGACTCAGACGTGTCTGACTGTGAGATGCCAGTCTCCTCACTGTAGTCCCCATCCTCTGTGAGGGCCTGAGCCGGACATCCAGGGTCCCCAGTGGGAGAGAGAAGGAAGCAAGTAGAGGTGGAGACACTGCAGGTGTCATCTGGTCTTTATTGGACCCTCTGACCTGAATGGCAGCACCGCAGGCATGGGAACGGGCTGCTGGGGCGTTTTTGAATGGCCTTCACCTTTCAGCCCTGGGAAGAGCACTCACTTTCCACAGCCTTTCCTAGGGGCCGCAGAGCTGTCAGTGCGTCAGACACGTTGCACTCGTTCTCTCTTAACCTCTGAACAACCTGGAAGGTTGGGGCTCTACTCACTGTGCACACCTGTGGACACTGGCTAGGAGTCAGAAGAGCTGGCCCCATCTCTTAGGATCTCTGGGTGAGGCCGTGGTGTGAATTTGGGACTCTGCCTGCAGGCTGTGCTGCCGCCTCACCATGAGCCCCTCTGTTCAGTAGCAGGTTGGGCTGGGAGCACAAGCTGGGAAACCATCTGGCTTCCAGGCCTCCTCCTTAGGTAGCCACCTCAGTAGCCACAGGCCCATGGCGGTTCCGAGGCCCCGGGGAAGAGGTGCACTGTGGGAGCTGGGCGTGCTGGGGCAGCGCCTTCTGGCAGGCCCAGCTCTCTTCTCAGCCTGCTCGCTTGGTGCCAGGAAGGAAATTTCAGAGGCAGCCAAGTCAGGGGAGCAGCTAGTCTGCTGGGGCCAGCCCCAGCCCCAGCCCCGGGTCTTTGCTCCTCCTCAGCCCTCCCGTGCCTGTCACCTGGCGGGTGCTTGTTTTAGGAACATGTAATTGTGGAGAGAGATGTTCCTAAACTGAGTCTGCTCAGACTTTGAAGTCACTCAGGCTAAATGTGCTTTTGGTTTTTAGAACCGTTTCCCTTTGCGATAATGTTGTGAGTGTAAATTGGTTTAGAATTGGCTCCCTTTAACCTTGACAAGGACAAAAATAAAACACGGCTGAGGGCGTCTTCTGCTGGACTCCGTTCAGGGACTGAGTCTTGGAGCGCCACTGATTGCTCAACCAGGGAGCCTCCGCTGCCACAGAGAGGGGGGCCCCAGAGGCCAGGCCGTGCTTCCTGCCTCAGCCAAGGCCACTGTCGTGGCGAGTAAACCAGGGCCAAGTGGCTTACTCTGCTTTGGGTGCTAATGGCCAGAGCACTCGGGGGAACAAGCACATAGGTGCGTAAGTGCAGCAGCGGGGCTGCAGGTTAGTGTGGAGGGGGCCCTTTCCCTGGTGTGATCAGTGAAACGTGCTCTAATGGCCTGGGGGGTTGCTAAGAGTTCACCTGGGCCTGGTCACCACAGAGGCACATGTTTTCCCCTGTGTCCCTGGCCAGCCTGGAATGCTTTCTGCATCTAGGAGCCTTTGCGATGAACTGGGCACCAGTTCTTGTTTGTTTAGTGATTTCTCTAATAGGATTCGCT